TGTTAACCCTGTTTGTCATAGTAAACGCTTTTTTCTGGCGGCCAAAAGCGTGCGCGCTAGAAAAAAAATATATATGTGTGACATCAGGAATTTCTCCCTTTTACCTCCGTTTGCTCGCTGTTCTCTTATTGGGTTGATTTAGACCTGCAACCAATGTCGAATTTCGACTTAACTTTGTCCTCTTTCGTGCGTAAAAGACGAGGATGGACCCTAAGAGGTATTCTCTACATAAAAGAAAAAACACAAACAAGAACTGAAAGAGGGATACAGAGTGTTTATTTCAGTCACAACCCGCCTTTTTAACCCTTCAGAAATTAGCACTAAAATGTTTTCTTGTCTGCATTTTAAAATGTCGACCCAGAATCTGCTTTAATTTTTTCACTAAACTCTACTTTCGGCTTTGATCGGGCATGAAGCCGGCTTAACATCTAGGGCAGCCTCTTGCAGACAAGACCACAGGGTAAACTAGTATGCCAACAAAAGAGATCATTCCAGTCGCCAGATGCGCTAGTAAAACTCCCCTCGTGACCAGTCCACATGATGCTACAAGGCTCCACACCATTTCCATTTGGTTCATTTGGGGACCATTTGGTGAAGGTAGGAACTGAATGATCGTACCACACAAAGGCCTTTAGACGAGAGTCCCACACGAGTCCGATCCAAATCTGCTTCAGCGATGGGGCGAGCTTGTTTACCAGGTTTAGTACAAACTCGTTTTCCTCCTTGCTGTTGATTTTCACCAGATTTCCTCCCAGTTCTTTGCAGTACATTTGGGCATTTTGCCAAGTCTTGATAGAGCTATTGACAAGATAGCAGTATCCATTAAATCGCACCCAGCCCAGTGGACAAGGAACGCCTGAGAGAAAAGTAGGAAGTTTTACCACAGGTGACCCAGGCTCTGTGATAGTACCACAGTACGGTTCCAGTAAAATTACAGTGTTTGTATTGGGTAAAAATACCATCCTAAAATTTCTAGGAAATACTAAATAAAGATCAATGAAACTTACTCTGCACTTAATTGTTGTTGTCCTTATTGCTCCAATGAAATTTCGTGATAATTTGCAGTAATTTGTTCAAATTCACTCTATATACAATAATAATATACAAGGTAGGAGACACGAGATGCCATTTTTACCGACATGCTCNTCTAGGGCAGCCTCTTGCAGACAAGACCACAGGGTAAACTAGTATGCCAACAAAAGAGATCATTCCAGTCGCCAGATGCGCTAGTAAAACTCCCCTCGTGACCAGTCCACATGATGCTACAAGGCTCCACACCATTTCCATTTGGTTCATTTGGGGACCATTTGGTGAAGGTAGGAACTGAATGATCGTACCACACAAAGGCCTTTAGACGAGAGTCCCACACGAGTCCGATCCAAATCTGCTTCAGCGATGGGGCGAGCTTGTTTACCAGGTTTAGTACAAACTCGTTTTCCTCCTTGCTGTTGATTTTCACCAGATTTCCTCCCAGTTCTTTGCAGTACATTTGGGCATTTTGCCAAGTCTTGATAGAGCTATTGACAAG